AATTTATATTACTTGAACTATGAGGCAAACTTAATATATAAAGTTTTATATTAGTTGAACTTGTGAACTAACAAATGTACAATAAATTTATATTACTTAAATTATGATATAAACTTAAATATATAAAACTTTTATATTAGTTGAACTTGTAAACTAATAAATATAGAATAAATTTATATTACTTGAACTATGATGCAAATTTAAATATGTAAAATTTTTACATTAGTTGAACTTGTAAACTAATAAATATAAAATAAATTTATATTACTTGAACTATGATGCAAACTTAAATATATCAAATTTTTATAGTCGTTAAACTTATAAACTAATAAATGTAAAATTAATTTATATTACTTGAACTATGATACGAACTTAATATATAAAATATTTATATTAGTTGAACTTGTAAACTAACAAATATCAAATAAATTTATGTTATTCGAACTATGATGCTAACGTTAAATATATAAAATTTTTATATTAGTTGAACTTGTAAACTAACAAATGTAAACTAAATTTATATTACTTGAACTATGATATAAATTTAAATATATAAAATTTTTACATTAATTGAACTTGTAATTTGTAAACTAATATATGTAAAATGAATTTATATTACTTGAACTATGATGCAAATTTCATATCATTTTTTTGTTTAATAAATACTTTAACCTTTTGGAAGCAACATATAATATTTTTCCTTAATTTACGTTTAATTTTTCTTGAAGTAACTTTAATTATCTTTTCAACTATTTTAATTTGATTTAGTATTTTATATCTATTTACTTCCCACTTATGACTTATCTACTATATATAAATAAAGACTAGATAATCATATAAGATATAAAAGTTTTACATTATATTTATTGTCTTAATTTTTCATTTAAGATAAGATAAGATAAAACTAAGAAATAAATATAAGATAACATAATATAATAAAGAATAGATAATACCCTAATTCGCCTAAAAGACTAAAATGGTGCGGCTTTACACTTTTCTTTACTGCAGGCAGCAGCCTAAACCCTAAATATATATACCTTATTTTCTCTCCGCAATTTCCTTTCCTTTCCCCTTTTAGCCAATTGTTGCAGTGGTGCACGGTGCTTTAGTGCTAAAATAATATCTTGTCATTTCAGGTAAATGCATAGTGTTTTTATTTTGAAAATTAAGAAAGAATTTTAAGTTGTTTTTCTATTCTTTTCTAAATATTTTTCCTAGCCGTTTACTTTGATCTTTTCATGTTTGTTCTGAGATTTTGCGAAGGAGTCTACTCTGTGTGTGGGTCTATTTTTTGTTGGATACTCTAAGTTTTTGGGTCACTCTTTGTAACCATTTTTTTCTAAGTCAATGAATGTCTTTTTATGCTTGTTCTTGACTAAGCTCGAAATTCCAAAGAAGAAGTTGATTAGTCTTCAGGAGTCATCAGGCATAACTAAGCTTGAAATTCCTAAGAAGAAGTTGGTTAGTTCTTGGGAGTATGAATAGACAAAAAAGGTGGAGTAGGAATTTTGTTGGGTGTTAGGAGCAAAATTAATTGTATTATTTGTTGTTCCAACTTGAAAGTAGTATGCATGTTTTTTGGATTGGAATTCTTTCGAAAAAGTTTCAACATGTTTCTCTCAAGTCTAGTTGTAGTACAATAAGACTAGTTTTGTTTTGTTCTTTTTTTTAAAAAATTTCTTGCTTAGACAATTGGTTGGAATTTCTGTTGGCATTTAGGTTGTTGATGGTAAGGGATCAAGATTGATTAGTCAATTGGGTATCATGATGAAGAAAAAGTGAATTTCGGATGTCAAATCACAATTTTTCTTAACATAATATACAAAAAAATTCTTAAATTATTTTAAAAAATTCAAATAAGTTTTTATACTTTTATTACGTTCAATCAAATTTTTATATTTTTATTTTGAGTTAAATAAATTTTTATATTTTTTATTTTGAGTCAAATAAACTTTTATAACTAATGATTAACTTAATCAAAATATTTTTTATTATTTTATATTACATGATATTAATGTGGTATATTAAAATATCATAATTGATTATGATGTGACATTTTGACATATCATAATTGATTATGACACGATATGCTAATTTGCCATAACAATATGATCATGTGGTATTTTGTGAAATCCCACATTGAGTAAGATGATAAATTAAAAAATTCTTAGGTGAGTATATAGATTACATGTTTTGAATATCAAACTTAGATTGAACCTTCTAAAAGAATTGTTGACACTTTTTGTTGCCTGTCACATTTGAAGCAGAGAATTTTTCTAAATTTGAAAGTGGTCAAAATATGTGATTTTTATAAAATATTTTTTTAAAATAAAAAATAACGGTAATAATTCCTTTGATTTTTAGATGATCAAAAATTATTTTTTTTAATTTTTAGAGCACGTTTGTTAGGGTAAATGGGAACTGCAAATTTAATTTCAGTCAAATTTTTTTGATTTTTTCTTAAAAACAAAATTTAGATTTCAATTCTTTTGAATTTTGATTTTGTTGATATTTTTATTGAATTCAAAAGGAAAGTTGTTTGCTTATTTACATTAAATATCAAAAGCTAATCTCAAGTAGGAATGTTGAACTTGAGCTCATCTTGAAAACAGTTTTGACGCCATTTTGGAGTATTTTGAAATGTTCATATGACTTTGTTACTGCTCACCGATGCAAAGTTTAGTGGAAGACAAATAAAGATGGACTAGTGTTGACTTTTTTGTATTAACTTACTTCAGTTTTTCTCATATTTCTTGTAAATTTAGATTAGCTTAATTTGTATTACACTGCTAAAAATGTACCTAACAACCAAAATTCACTGTCTCGGCTGTAAAATTGGTATAATATGAATGAATAATGACAGCAATTAGAATGTTGTTCCACCATTTTGTTTTTCTTATTTTTCTCTATATGAAACTGTAATGCTGCTTCCTTGGCAATAAGTACTAATAACAAGAGGGATAATGAAATCAACAAATGTTTTTCATTTAATTTTCACCATAATAAAATAGACTTGGCACAAGGACAAGACAAAAGGACACCAACCCTTGAAAATATCAGTTAAAAGATCTCCATTGCATTTAAGGTTCTTTATGAAACTGTACTGGAATATTGTCATGCTGATTTGGAGGTATGAATAAGATTCATGAATGTGCAGGTAAATGTGCTAACCAGAGCCATAGGCCCACAAAAGCGTTACAGTATTGGTACTGCAACTCTATGTGAAATAGTCACCAGAATATTCTCAGATCTACAAGAAAGCCGAAAGCAATCAAGCATATAAATGTTGGCGGGTCTTGCTTGTTTCTGTATGAGTAGAAAATGGGGCCTCCCCTTCCTCATGAGCTTCTGGCTTCTTTGTTAGTTTCAGTTCTGCCATTTTGAGCAATTGAATGGATTCAAAATAAAAAGTTGCCCATGTGATTTTTTGGTAGCTTATGTTTTAATATTTGGGACCACTGCCACATGCCAACTTGCAGAGGCAGAGCCTCACTTCAAAAACTCTTAGACCTCCGTCAAGTCCTCCATTGGAAGAAACCCTAACAGCATATCTCATGAATTTGCTGAGTGTCTCTCAACAGTCACCTTGTTGTTTTGTTCGCAACAGAAAGAAAATGCAAAAAATTGCTTCACATTGAGCAAAACAAGGAAGGAATATTGGGAATGTACATTGGATGCAACTATGTGAAAGCTATAACCCCAATGACCTGAAGTTGTTTCTATATGGGGTTTCAGGTTATTCTTTCCTCTTTTGCTTCATGTTGCTTTAATGCAAAGAGGGCCCAAATGGGCCCAACCCATGCGGGAAAAACAAATAAGTAGATGGTCAATAATTAAGGGTGAAAATATAACATGGTAGTACTAAACTAAAACTCAATGTATCTGCCCCTAGGATATAAAGTTGATCAAGTTGACAAAACGGGCAAACTATTGCACACAGTTGCAAACCTTGTTCCATGTCTTATGTGTATGAATCAGAAATAGTCTAAACAGGAATCTATCCACGCCAGTAAGCTTGATTGTACAAAAAATGATAAAAGAAAAAGAAGCAAATTAAGGCAACTACTACTTGATATCTCTTAAATGAACTTATAGACCTTTATATAACAAGAAATTTCCTACTTCAACTTTAACATGCCAAGAAGAAATTAATGATACACTTTCCCTCAAGAAGCTTGCACGATAACCATATAGCAGGAAATTCCTGCTGTGCCAAAAGGAAATCAGAACAGCTAACCTGGACACTCTTCACAATCCATAAAACTGCAGAGACCAAATAGTATTTGGATATAAAACAAATCTGGACTTTTAAGTTCTCCTGAAGCTAGTGCAAAATACACCACACACGTCTACTCCACTCAACCTACTACATATTTGTTTTATGACCTATGGCAAACACATTTGTAGTGATATGCACTATTGATTGGGTCATTTCCTTCTACCGGAACTTGTTCAGCTCTACATTTGTATTTGCATCCTCTACATTCATTGTAAGTGCAGGTGGGCGCTGTGGATCCAATCATCAATCTCCTTGAATTTCTATTCGTCTTTGCTTCGTTGGTGCCCTGTTGCCTCAAAACTGTTTTAGTTAGAAAGACTTAAATCATAGAGTAAGTTAAGCAAATAGTAGCAGTGCTTTTGATGTATCCTCACCTGCAAATGCAATGGAGAAGAATGAGAGACCCCTTGTTGGAAATTAGGAAGTATTACATGAGTTCTGGATCCTGCAAAATTGTAACAATTAACCAAAATGTGGCAAGGAAAAAAAAAAGTCAAATGCGACTTTATTTAGCAAGCAAAAAGAAGAAAAATCCCTGTTTTATACATAGAACTACTAGAATTTTGTTAACAGAAGGGAAATGCAAAACTCTTCTCAGACCAAATAGTTGGTGTAAGGAAAAAAAACAAGTAAAATTTAAGAACCTATTAATGATTTAAAGCTTCCTGTCAAGCTATGGAAATGCATTTCCTACATTAAAAGCGCAGTCAGAAATCTGTTAGGAGTAGGAGGATTAATAAGAGAAGCACTAGACGTGGAAGCAAAAAAGAAAGAAAGAAAGAAAGAAAGATGTGCAGTGTGAAGGACCATATTATGGGCAATGGAAAGATGATTTGAAAACAAGGAAAGGAACAGCTAGAGCCTGACTATGACCTTGCATTACATGTGCGGCAAGGAAGAAGGTGAAGAGTAGCAAAAGTAAGTAGCTTGTTTGAATGTTGGCCATTCTCCCCTTTGCATTGGTGTAAACTTAGAAGGTGATATATATAAAGGATAAATGAGAGAGAAGGAGAGACAGAGAGAGAATTGTGGTCAATTAATGACCATAAGAGATAAACTGGCAAATCTCTTGGTCACTCAGAGGTGCACACATAAGAGGTCCCAAACACCCAGACCGACAGATTGCTTCTTGGGGGCTAAACCAGGGGAGCAGTAGATTGACCTTTGGAGTTACAAAAATGCCCATTGCTCTTGTTTCATTTTGTTCAAAGAAGGCTTGAATTACTTTGATATTTCGGTTGGGGTAAAAGGGAAATTTGAGACGGGTGTGGGGAACTCATTTGCTTTTGGTCTACGGTTGGGAAATCATTTTTATTTGTTTTCCCTTGGATGAATGGACGTACGCACCCACCTAAAGAAGCATCTAGCAATTCCAGGGTTGGGAACGGTTCAGATCCATGTACAATCCCTGGATGAATATGGAAACAATACTCATAGAAAAAATGATTCCCTTACATTATTTGATCAATGGACCTCAGTGTCCTACTCCACAGTTTAAAATATGTGCATCGACAATTTTCAACAAATTAAAAATGAAATAAAGATTCAGACATGGGAAATGATGAATCCTTTTGCAGCCCCACCCAAAACCATTGCACTGAGATTCATAATTCAGATCTTCTTTTCTTAAGCAGATAAACCAAAATTTCCATCTCTAATGACACGTCTTCTGTATTTAGGCAATCGTCAAAATCACTGCCTCCATACATGTGACGAATAATCTAAAGTGTTTAGCGAGGGTGGTGAACCATGGGTGAGAGGCCAGGCATGTGCTGTGGCCTGTGGCTGCACTTTCCTCTCAGGGTACTTCTTCCACGTCTTACCCGTCTCTGCCTCCTCTTGCTTTTTCCATCAGAAAGAATTCTTTTTTTTTTTTTTTTTTTTTTCTTGTGAAGACATGAGAAGAATTTCATTTGTATATTGTTGTCATGATCGCATCAGGGACAAGCACCATGAGATATATATATATATAGACTTCAGAGCATTGAGATTGTATTATTGCATACTTTTTCTTTCCCATCATACATAGATTGTCAGTAACTTGGTCAAAAGGGTTCCTTTTTGCCTGAAAATTTTCTGTACTGTAGGATTCCTTCTTGTTCTTTTTTTTGTCTTTTTTTTTTTTTGAAAATTATCATAACATAAATACCACTTTCATTTTGGTGAAAGAAATTAAAACTTTAGACCATAGTTTTGTCTTAACATTTTTACAGCTATATGAGATCCACCTATCAAACAATTTAATACCTCCTTTAAAACCTTAGCTTTCTTAAATGAATAGTTAGTGAAAATTATATGACAAAATAAAAGGTACTAGGGTATATAATGAATGACCTATACATTAATAATGTTGTGTTTTTTTCTTATATTGACATTTCTCTTTCTTTTAAGGTTTATACGAAACTCATCATAAATAATAAAGGTATAATATTTTAAAAAGTTTCTAAACTATTTATAAAAATTTAGATAAATTCTTATTCCCTCCATTATATTCAATTAAATATTTATATTTTTATTTTGAGTTAAGTATATCACTTGATATTAATACAGTATACGAACATGTTATATTGGATGATAATGAAATATGATAACATGGTCACACAATTTTTTCACTTTCCAAGCCAATGCCACGTGATATAAAAATAACAAGTGACATTTTGACTAATGATTATTATTCAACCGTTAATCACAAAGATCATTTTTATCCATACTAAAAATATAAAACTTGATTAAACGTAATAAAACTTTATTCAAATTTTTTAAAGCAGTAACATTTTGTTTTTCCGTCCTATTTAGTGATTTTCTGTTCTGTCTTGATCTTTTTCTCTGTGTCTTTGTACTCCTTGCTTTAATTGGAGAAGTAAATTAGTAAAACTTTTTATCAGGATTGGGCCAAGACGGGGCATAGTTTAATAAGTATTATAATGTTTCTGGGTTCTTTTTCTTGGCCCACAGTTCGGGAGCAAGGATCTTGAGGCCTAGAGGCATTCTCCTCCTTTACAAAAAGTAGAAAACCTTAAATCTAAACTTTGGTAAAGATGGTCTGGAGTCTGGACTATGGACCTCGTAAGCCGTAAGCACTTTGGGTTGGGATAACTAGCCCATTTAGTTAGGCTCACTTCATATTCTAACACTGAAGTCAAAAGTAAATTTTTGTTGGGCATTCTTAGTTCAAATGATAAAACATGAAATTGTAAAAATCTTTTGATTCAAGATGATACTACAAAAATAAAATAATGCCCACGGTTTTGCTATCAAATGGAGAATTTATTTATCACACTGTGGACTATATTTTGCACCTTTTCAGGTGTTAGAAAATGACAAGTTAGTATAACAATTCCAAGTATGTTTTTAATCGAAATTTTGATTTTCTTTTGTGTTCTTTTCGTTTAATTTTGAGTTGGAGAGAACAGAAGAAGTTTTGAGTGTAAAGACACCATCACATCTAGAATTTCAAGGTTCAACAAATAAAGTGTATATTATCATTCAATTAATTTAAATTTCGTTTAATTGATATTGTTATATATTAATTATTTTTTAATTCAAAATATAACTATAGAATCAAAGTAAAGTAAAAGAGCATATCATAAAAAATTAAAGTTGCCTGACACAAATTGATATAGTATCCTTTAAATATTCCTAAGCATGCTTTTATGACTTGGCTTTACATTCTGAACAAGCTTCCCATTTTGTTAAGGATAAAAATTAGTTTAGGTCATAAAAGTATATCATATAGTAAGTTCTTTAATCATTAGCTTTTTTAGTGGTAGTAGTCAATGTTATAAATTAGACAGTCATGGTAAGATGTATTATACATGTTTCTTTTTTGAAATCTCAAGAAATAGTACTACCATTAAACATAAAGATCCAACCGCTTGTAGAAATATGAAATTTTTATATTTGTAATTTGTTAGTATTTAAATATTCTTCTAGTACACATAGATATTCCTTATAACAGATATCCTAATAGATATCCATAATTGATTTTTTTTAACTACTTACTTATTGTATTTATGATTTACCAATGCAAGTTTCTTGGATGACTTTTGTACCAATATAATTTTCCAATAAGAACCGCTATGTTTGGCTTTGTTTACGTCCTTGCATATATTAAACAATCAATTATTTTTGTGTATGGCAATTGATTAATCGTCCTACCAACATTAGATACCAATTTAATTTGAAAATACATAGGTGTAATTGCTAGTATGCAATCATTAAAATCAAACTTTTTGAGCACATTTATACAATTTTGACAAAATTATGTTATTTTTATTATAGAATATTTTAATTCCTAAGATTACATCTACTACACTCATATCTTTCATTGCAAAACAATTAAATAAAAATCTTCTTTGTCTTCTCAACTTGTTTTAAATTTGCATTAAATATTAGCACATCATCCACGTAATAGTAATTATAACTCTTTACCATTTTGGAATTTTTTTATATATTTTCACTTATCAAACTCATTTATTTTATAGCCATTGGCTCAAAATAATTTTATCAAGTTTTTTGATGCCATAGTTTTGGTTCTTGTTTAAGTTCATTTTATCAAAGTGCTAAAGTTTGATGAATTATAACGGTGAATTCAAAATAACTTGGATTATAATATTTTTCACTTGTATCCGATTTTAAATACTTGATAAAAGATTTACAATGCAATTCAACTTTGTATTTATAAATCGTAAATTTATCAAGCACTTCATCTTTAGAATGTAACAAATAAACATAACAAAATTCTAAGTAACTATTAAGAAAAAGCTCATAATATCTCTCCCCTCCTAAATAGGGTCTATGCAAATCATATAGAAATATTATGCACCAATTCAAGCATTCAGAACAATTCTAACGTTAAAAAATTTCTAATATAAACATGCAAGCTTAATTGGTGCATAATATTATACAAATTTTCATAGCTTAAAATATTATGCTTCAATTCATATACAATTTTATGTACCAATTCAAGCATTTTAAAATTTCTAATTACAAAAGAATATTTGCTATGCAAGTATTACATTTTTCTACAATGTTATCAATATTTTGAATCAATTCCAAATTAGACATAGCAAGCATTCTTTTTTAATTAACATGCCTTAAACTATGATGCAGAAAACCAAGAAATTATGTAAGTAAAAACAATCATTTTATTATTTTAATTTTTAATAAAATGATTATGAAGATGCCTTTACTCACATAACCCTTTTCCACAAATACCTATCCATTGGACAAAATGAATTTGTCCTCCCAATCATACTTTGTAGCATTAGAACCAATCAACTATGTCTTATTGTCTTCCACGACATTAATTTCAAAATTATTGCAACAAAATTTTATCTTGTTGTTACTAACGCATTTTTCTTCTTGAAAAAGTAACACTCTCTCGTTAAGGCATGGTTCTTCATAATGGTAACATGCACTTTTTTCTTTCTTGAATCTTTATGCATTAGCAAGAAGTTCTTTATTCTTTGTGGATTTGCTGGATTATCCTTTCTCCATCTCATGAACATTTGACATATGAGTCTTTCTCATGTTCTTTGGGATATTCTCTTCAATTTGAAGATGAGTGGCAAGCTCTTCAAGAGACAAATCTTCTTTTTATGTATTGAGGTTCTCTTGAAAATTTTCCATGGTGATGAGAATTTATCAAAGTTCAAAGACATAACAATAAATTCATGCAAATTCATTTTACAAAGTTTGAAGTTATCAAAAATCCTTTCAACTTTAGCAAATTATAAGTTTATTATCAACCATCTTATGCTTAATTGTAATCGATACATAATTGTAACGGCATAGCTCTATTAAAAAAATGAAACAATTAAGAATTTAAACAATTCATACAAATCAATTCAATAAAGGAAAGAAAACTACCTAATAATTGGGTGAAAAACCATTTAAATTGTCATTTTCTTTATCAACATAAAATTGTTTCAATTTCGCCAAGTCAAAGGCCAAATTCCCTTATTATTCCACTTACAACAACTATTGTTAAACCAAAATAAAACCTTTAGATTGTTGGGATACAAGATTGGAAAAACAAAATTATTAGGAAAAGGCTTCAAGGTACATATCTATGTGACTTTTCTTAAGATTTTATTTGTACCCGTCGTTAAGTGTGTAAAAAAGATGAAATTTAATGATTGACTGTATTTTGAAATGACGAAATCAAACTCTTGTAAAGTTTTCAACAACAAAACAGAATGAAAAGTAATCTTAGAAGTATTTGAAAAATGTGAAGAGACTGACTGATGGCAAATTATTTCTATTTGATACATTTTCAAAAAATCAAAAGGTCTTTTTATAGGCAAATAAATGTCTCTTTATACAGATATAATCTTCAGAATAATCATATAATTGTTTGAACAAATATCATTATTTGAATAAATATAATTGCTTGAATAAACACAATTGTTAAAAAACTTTCTTTCGTTTTTTTACTATTATTATTGAAAATGTTTAACATAATAATCTTAAAAAACTTTATTATTTTGTATTGAAATGTGTTTTTTTTTCCTTATGAAACAAAACCAAAGGACAAAAACACAAAAGAAAAAAAAAAGCGTAACAATTTATAAACCTAAAGTCTAATGGAGCTCAACTTTGGACTAGCCAATCAAGTTTTTGGCCCGTAGAATATCTAGTCTCCACAGAAACAATAACTTTTATATGATTTGAATTCCCTTACAAGTAGCTTCCCATTTTTGCTCGTAGAACAGTTGAAGCTTGCAAGTTCCCGCGAATACCCAACTTTACAAGGTATACCTAACCTTGCCCTCAACTCTTTCTCTCCTATTTCTGCCCTTCACTGCTTCCATTCACACACAGAAAAACATGTCAATGCAGGCAAACAATCCCTTTCCCTCCCTTCCCATTCTCTTCCTCCTCAAAGGAAAGCACCCTTTTTCTCCCTCTATATCATCACCAACGACCATGCCGTTGCCTATTATCATTGCAAACTCTGAAACCTTAACAAACCTCCTTTCGTTTCCTCCCTGTTTCAGCACATCTTCCGTTTCTTTTCCTAACAAAAAATGGAGTCTCAAGAACCAAAGATTACCAGTTCCCCTTTGATGCCATTGATGTACTCGAACCGGGTGATGTTGAAAACTATATTGGAAGGTAGTGATACCAAGATGGGGTTGATCGGTAAGACAATGGTGATTGGAGGGTGGGTGAAATCTTCCAAGGAGGTGAAAAAGGAACCTGTCGCATCGCCACCGGCTGCAGCCGATGCTCTCCCCGCTTCGCCAGGGCCTAAAGATGTAAGCTGTGCGGAAATTATTCAATCTCGAATCCCGTTTTTCAGGACTATCATCAGGGTTTTGGGTGGTTCTGCTAGTTCCCCTGCTGTTAGAGAAAAGCTGGAGTCTTTGATTCCTATACCGCGTCTTCCTTCCATATTTTTTTTACAAATTAATGACGGCTCTTGTGTTTCAAGTCTTCAGGTACTCTCCAACCTTGAACTGTTTTTCCCGTTTTCTGAAGTGATTACGCTGATTGCTTGATTATGCAAATTCCTAATTAGTATTAGAAAATTTTCAGGTTGTGATAGATTCAGCCATAGTTCCAGTGTCTGCAGGCCAGATCCTACCAACTGGAACATGTATATTAGCGCAAGGTGTTCTGGAAAAACCATCAGCTCACGGAAAACATACAATTGAGCTTAAAGTAGAGAAAATTCTTCATGTTGGGCCAGTAGAGCAGGATAAGTATCCTCTGACAAGGAAAAGATTACCGCTTGATTCTTTAAGGGATTATTCTCATATTCGTCCTAGGACAACTACAGTAATCTCTGCAACCATTGCTATTTTTTGGACATTCTCTCAAGAAAAATACCTTAAAATTGAACCTAATGTACTCTTTAATTACTATGTTTTACATTGCAGGTGGCATCTGTTACACGAATTCGCAGCGCCCTAAATTTCGCAACCCAGACATTCTTCCAGAACCATGGCTTTTTTTATGTGCAAGTGCCAATTATCACAACTACAGACTCTGAAGGGTTCAGTGAAAAGTTTCAGGTTACAACTCTTCTAGAAAAAACAAGCAAGAAGGAGGAGCCAGTCGGTGTTGAAGATGTTAGCCTTGAAACTGTTAAGGCTGCTATAAAGGACAAAACTAGTATGGTCGAACAACTCAAGAGAAGTGACAGCAATAGAGAAGCACTTTTTTCTGCTCTTCAGGATCTGCGGAAAACAAATGAACTAGCACAACAGCTTGAAGCCCGAGAAAAATCCAAACCAGTAATTGCAGTGAAGCCTGATGTAGTGGACTTCAATGAAGATTTCTTTGGTCGCCAGAGTTATTTGACTGTTTCTGGGCACCTTCATCTGGAGAGCTATGCATGTGCCCTTGGTCATGTTTACTCATTTGGACCCAGATTTCGAGCTGATAAAACAGTGTCCCCAAAACATGTATCTGAAATGTGGACTGTTGAGGTCCAAATGGCTTTTTCAGACTTAGAGGTAAGACTTTGCCTCTTCAAGGCTCAAGCATATATGTAGTTTCATGGTCACATTAGATAGATATTTCAATTCCATTATCATTATCATTAACCGCTGCACATCTTTCATGAGAAAATGTTCAGTTTCTTCAGGACTCTGGAATACTTCTCCTCCCTTTTTGGTGATGTAAATTTGGTGGTTTTCATACTTCACATATCTGTAGGAGTTAAACATATCTTGAAACAGAAAAAAAAATACTTATTTAACTTATATGCGAATGAATTTTCCATATATTAAGATCTCGTTGATATCTTTGATTGGAATTTCCAGGACGCCATGAAATGTGCAGAGGACTATTTCAAATTTCTCTGCAGATGGACACTGGATAACTGTTCAGAAGACATGAAGTTTGTCACAAAAAGAATTGACAAGAATGTTACCCATTGTCTTGAATATATGATATCAAGTTCTTATGAAAAGATCTCTTACAGAGAAGCAGTGGAAATTTTAAGAAAGGTAAACCCGGACAACATGTACTTCCTATATATTAGCCCAGCCAACATATCAATCATAATTTTAACAACTTCTATCCGACAAAACTTTTTACATTCTTCAACAACAGGTCACAGATAAGGCATTTGAAACACAACTTCAGTGGGGCGTCCCTTTAACAGCAGAACATCTGAGGTATGTATATTGTGGCTGTTAACCTAGCAAGAAGAGTCAAATGCAAATATCCTAAAGAGAATAGGACGTGAAGACATTTCCTATTAGTGGTTCTTACTCTATCCATTTGCCCAATGGCAGCTACTTGGCTGATGAGCACTTTCGGAAGCCTTTAATTATTTATGATTATCCCAAAGCAGTTAAGCCATTTTATGTACGCTTGAATGATGATGGAAAAACAGTTGCAGCATTTGAGATGGTTGTACCCAAGGTAAGTCTAAATTTTTCTTATTTGGCGAAGAACATCTTGAAACAAACATCTTCTGGCACTGAAGAAAGTTCGCTGGTTTAGAATTGGTTATAAAGCTGGATAAATTTTATGCAGATTGGAAGAGTGATTACAGGCAGCCAAAATGAAGAGCGCCTTGACATGCTAAATACAAGGTAACCCTTCCTTCTACAACTGTCTCATTGCACCATTTTTTTAGTCCTACTGCAAATGATTTTTAAATAAATGTTGGGAAATTCTGGTTTCAAATGAAATTGGCGTCAGTACAAAACACTAACTAGTTTGCATGATTATTAGCAATTAAATTTATAAAAGCTGCAATTATCGGTCAGTGCTCCAACTTGAGATTTTCCAGGAAGTCATGGTCATGAGAATTAGAGAAGTTACAGTGGCTGTTGATCTAATGCTCTGTTGTAATTGAGTGCTATATCATATATATGCTAATGACTTCATGAAGAATGGCCAAGATACATTTTTAGCTTTATTGCCTCTATGATAATATGATAATTTTAGTTACTATGGAAAATTCTTTGAGGGTTGAAAATGCCTTTTTCTGGAAAAGGATATATATTAAGTGACATAAAAGAACTAGTAGTTTTAGAGGTAATATTGCTGTAAGTGAAAACATAAAGACCCGATGGCTGCCAAGATCCCAGCTCTTCTGAATCTGTGTTTCAACCCATTCTAATTTTAAAATTATTCTTGAGGCTTAAGTATTCTCAATATGTCCTCATTGATGCAAAGACTATTTCTCATAGTCCGCCATGGATTTTTCGATTTCAGGATCAAGGAATTTGACTTGTCAAGAGATCAGTATGAATGGTATATAGATCTGCGCAGGCATGGAACAGTCAAGCACTCTGGTTTCAGCCTAGGCTTCGACCAGATGGTTCTTCTTACCACTGGCCTCACTGATGTTAGAGATGCAATTCCTTTTCCCCGAAGTCATGGCAAAGCCAACAACTAAGAGCGCGTCTTGATAAAGTCAAAAACTTTAGAGATGCTTGTGTTTCAGATAAACACAAACTAATGTAAACAGATACACTAAATGCAACATATGAACACACGAGGAATATGTGTTAATCTCATGGCTTCAAATCATTATTGTTGCTAATGCAACTGAGCAATTAATTATTAAATAAAAAGAAACTACCATACAGCTTGCAAATCCTTTGAACAAACTGATTTTCGCATATCGCACTAGGATTTCGGATGAACTATCATCACTGTTTTGCCAAATGAGGTACCATTATTGGAATCAATTGGGAAGAAAAATGGATAAAGCTCATACCGGACATAACAACTACTGTATAGGACCCGGCATCCCTTCCTGTTCTCACAAAAGTTAGGGAAATTTCCAACAGCAATTGCCAGGCATTGAGCACAATCTATCTCAGATAGGTCCCTTGTGCACTGCACCAATGCATAAAGGGTAACAAATGGTGACAATTTGGTCTTACCTTTCCCAAGCCCTTCGTTCTTTGGCATGACAGCTTCGGATCTAATTTTATTCGTCAGAGCTCCAAGTTCTTGGTTGAAACTTTGAGGATCTGTGACATTTTCAACATTATAGTAGAATATACCAAATGATGTGTCAACTTCTCCAATAAAATTCTCTTTGCTATACCGTAGAAAGCAATAGTCGTACCAAATCCTTGCGTCAGATTGATTTGGACAGAGTCGGCGGATTTGCGTCGCTGCATCTTGTATGCAACTTGAACAGTCTTTACTGCTAACATCTCCTCTGCATTGAGCGAGACCATAGACTCTGTCAGGGCCTCTACCAGAGGAAGTAGCAATATAACCAGTTAAGGGAGTTTTAGGGACCACTTCAGCTAACAAGCGATCAATGTTTCCAGATATCGGGCTAGTGCTATTTATGAAGGTGTTTTCATTGCAAAAATTCCCTAAAGGATCAGCCCTGCAACTGCTTAGAAACAATGAAAGAAGAAGAATGTATAACAACTTCATGACGGGTTTCTTGCAAAGTCGAATCCCCTCCGCTCTTCAGGCTTTCTTATTAGTAGTCCTGCGGATGGGAGATGATGTCGATGTGGGAATTCAAACGCAGACATCCTTGACTCCCTGTATTTCAACCACCGCAACAAGTGGAAAACATGGGCCATGTTTTCTAGAAAGTCTCTCCGGTTTGTCTATTACCATAGGTTTACCAAAATGATTGTTTAAGAATGTCCATTAACGAAGCGCATGGTAAAGCTATGATAACGATCACCCACTTAAAAATCGATCAATAGAATGGCCTTCTGTTTCTCTGCCACCAAATAGTGAAGCTTCGTGGGCTGATAATAATCTCCAGAGGTGCTACACGATACAAAAGTAATGACTGTTTCCTAATACAACTTGGACAATTGGAATCTAATCATACTCCTTTATATGATAATGAAGATATTTTACAGCTTATGCAGCACAGTAGGTCTCTGTGCTTCTTTCTTGTGAACCGCTTTGCCATGAATATTCTTAGCGCTTATAATGAGACCATGTTATGGAAAATGATGTAAGGAATTAGTGTGAAAATAAAGAATAGCATTTGATAGAGTTTCTAAAATTTGAAATTAAATTTTAAATACAGAAACTTACATTCAAAATTTAAAAGAAAATATAATATTATTCAATAATTAAAAAAAATAAGTTGTCTAAAAGCTAAGGCTAAAGATACTATTTATAATAGCCTAATTCTACTTGACTTAAACTTGGACTACAAGTAAATTAAATTAAAATAAGGAGGTATTCTACCCTAAACTTCCTTAGAGTATAGGAAAAGTAAATTCTTAAACTCATAGTTACTTGTTGTCCAAGTAAAATAAAATTAAAAGAAAAATCTCAAATACTAAATACTAAATAAGAAAAATATTAAATATTAAAATTACTTGTTAGTCTATTAGACTATTTACGTCATTCCCCTCTATATCGGAATATAAGGGTTCATCTAATGAATAAAATGGGTAAATATCCACTACATTAAATGTTTTGAAAATTTTCATTGTGTTCGACAGATCCACCATATAAGCATTGACATTGATTTTCTTCAAAATCTGGTATGGTCCATATTTCTTAGGTTGCAGCTTACTATAAGTCCCCACTAGAAACCTTTCTTTTCGCAAAACCACCATCGCCTGATCTCTTACTTCAAAAATTTATTTTCTATGATGTTGGTCTGCAACTCTCTTGTACTTGGCATTAGCTTGCTCTAATTTTTGTTTCACCTCAGCTTGAACATCTTGCAACTGATTAGCCATATTTTCAACAGTTACATTAAATCCAGAAACTTTAGGCAACTTGATCAAGTCAAGAGCATATTGTGGTGACTTTGTGTACATAATAGAAAATGGCAATTTTCTTGTGGCATTATGAACAACACTATTATAAGCAAACTCTGCTTGTGCTAATGGAAAATCCCACTACTTTGGTCTATCTCCACAAATACTACAAATCAAATTACCAAAGGTTCTATTTACTGATTCAATTTGGCCATCAGATTGTGGATGAGCTGTGCTATTGTAATTCAAGGATGAATCAAACATCTTTCACAAAGTCCTCCAAAAATGGCCCAGAAACTTGCTATCTTGATCTACAGTGATGGTTTTAGGCACACCATACAAATGAACAATCTCCTTGAAAAACAATTTAGCTATTCTGCTTGCAGTTGAAGTCTTATTGCAAGGGATAAAGTGCGCCATCTTAAAAAACCTATCAACAACAACAAAAATAGAATCCATGTCCCTCTGTGTTCGAGGTAATCCAAGCATAAAATCCATGGCTAAATCCTCCCAAATATTTTTTAGAACAGTTAAAGGCATGTACAAGTCAGTATTTTGGGACTATCCTTTTATGGTTACATATGAAACATTGTTGCACAAATCTTGTTACATCCCTTCTTAAATGTGGCCAATAATATCTTTCTCCAATAGCAGCAATTGTTCTATCAGGACTTAAATGATCAGCAAGACCTCCATCATGCAAGTCTTTAATCAACTTTTCTCTCAATGAAGTTTTAGGAATGCAAAGCTAGTTGCCTCACATTAGAAAACTATCATGAATGTAAAAATCTTCAACAAGTTGATTTGTGATACACTTCTCTTATGTATCTTGAAAACCTTATCTATATGATACAATTCCCTAAATGTATCAAAACCCACAACTTCTTGTCTCATTGTCACCATCAAATCTGCACGTTTACTCAATGTATCTGCTATTTTATTCTATATTCTCGTCTAGTGCCTCAACTTAAAAGGAAACTTTTACAGAAGCTAAGACCACCTGGCATGCATGTCTTTGCTGATTTGCTTTTGGGTATTCTAGTTCTTCAATGCCCTATGATCCGAGTACAAAACAAATTCTCACCCGACCAAGCAATGTTCCAATTCTTCAAAGCACGCACAATAAAATAAAATTCTTTGTCAAACGTGGTCCACTTATATCTCGCATCACTAAGCTTCTCATTGAAATAAGTTATTGGTTTCTTTTTTTGTGAAAGAACAGCTTTTATACAAACGCTACTAGCGTCATTGAACTTCAAATAATGTATCAAATTCTAGTAATGCTAAAATAGGAATTGTACATAGTTTCTCTTTTAGCACAGTAAAACTGGTTGCAGCTTTTTCGTTCCATTGAAAATTTCCCTTTTTTCAAGCACTCTGTAATTGGCGCTACAATACTACTAAAATTTTTGATAAAACACTTGTAGAATGTCACCAACCCATGAAAACTTCTGATTGCTAGTACTGTTTTTGGGGTAGGCCATTCACTGATAGCTCGAATCTTCTTTCATCCACTTGAATGCCATCTATACTAACTACATAGCCTTGGGATAATAACTTATTTGTCATAAAGTTGCATTTCCTTGAGTTCACATATAGCTTATTTTCTTGCAAGATTGTTAGTACCTCCCACAAATGCAAAAGATTCTCCTCTTCTGATTGACTATAAATCAAAATATCATCAAAACAAACCACGGTGAATTTTCCAATAAAAAGTTTCATTACTTGATTCATCAATCACATAAAGGTGCTAGGTGCATTGGTCAACCTAAATGGCATTACGAGCCACTCATACAATCCTTCTTTCATTTTGAAAGTTGTTTTCTATTTATCCCCAAGTCTAATTCAAATTTGGTGGTATCCACTACGAAAATCAATCTTTGTGAACACCTTAGCCCTATGGAACCTGCTTCACAATCAGAGCATGCACATTTTTTAACTCCTTAAAAGCAGTCTTTATCTCATTCCCTTAAAAACAAGGGCACAGAAAGCTTGCCCTTCCATTTTAAAAGCTTTGGTTATGACATTTCCTTTTATTGGCAATAAAGTAAACTTTATGCCATCTTTCTCAAATCTGTAGGTGTTTTTTCTCCCATCATGTTATGCTACAACATCAAATTGTCAAGGTCTACCAAATAACAAGTGACAAGAATTCATATCCACAATATCACAATATACCTTATCCTTGTATTTACCAGTGGAAAAAGGTACCTTACACCATTTTGTTACATAAATCTTCTCTGCTGCCTTAATCTAACTAATAATGTATGGATTTGGGTGTTTTTCGGCTTTAAAACCCAAACTCTTCGCAACATCTTTACCAATAATATTCTATAACTATCACTATCAATAATCACATCAAATAAATAGTTAATGATAGAGCACTTGGTTCGAAATAATTGATTCTGTTGAGTGTTATCCTTATGTTTTGGAGACAACATCATTCTTCTCACCACATAGTTCTAGCCATCATCATAATCCTCATACTCGTCATCATCCTCGTCTAGATCATTACAAATCTCATCATCCTCTTTTCTTGGATCCACCACATGAATTGCTTTCCTAAGAGAACAATCATTGAATCTATGACCAGATTGATTACATTTGAAATACTTTCTTAGGGTTGGTTCGACATAAGGATTTGCAGCTTTCTACCCTTCTTTTTTTGCTTTCTAGTTGCCTTCTCGTCTCTATATTGGTCATTACATGCAGAACTATCATGAACTGATTTATTCTTATTGTTGAAAGCCCAATAATTATCCCCATTGTAACTTTTGCTAGAATAATCATGTTTGTTCTTTTCCTGCAACATCACTTTAACCTTTAAAGCAATATTTCGTGCTTTCAATAAATTTGCAATACTTGTACCTTTATCTTTTCTATGATAACTAACTTCAACCCTTCAAGATACCTGGCAACAACTTGTTGCCCTTTGGTCTCCCTCAGGTCATTCTTCTTTGCCAGTTTCATAAATTCAGCAGTATACTCATGTATTGCCAATCTCATTCCTTTCTGCCAATCTCAAAATTTTAGAGAATATATAATATGATTCAATAATTCAAAAAAATAATTCAAGAAAAAGTTAAAATATATATAAAATTAAATATGAGACATTTTTAACAATAATAAATGTGTGACACAATCTACTATTGGAAAAGAAAAAGAATAAAGAGTTATTTAAATAAAGAGGAGAAGATGTTTTTAATAGTTAGATCAAAATGGGTAATAAGTGTGAAACACAATCCAGCATTGAAAAAGAAAAAGAATAAAAAGTTCTTTAATAAAGAAGAGAATAAGTCTTTAATAATTAGATTCAAGTGAGTAAAAATGTAAATTAGCTCATTACTTCAAGACCAACCAATATATGATATATATTAATTATAATTACTAATTTAATTAATTTTCAAGGTCAATCAAGATTTTTGAAAAGCCTAAATTTACATGTTAATCCAACTATTAAATAGTTGTGTTCTTGTTTATTTAAAAGAGTCTTTTTTTTTCTTTTTCTAGAGTAAGAATGTGTCTTACATTTATTATTGTTAGAAATGTTCAACAATATAGCATGTTGTTAGGCTTATTTTGTATTTTCATATCTTATTAAGCGATAATAATTAAATTTTTGCAAAAACATCTAAAATTGAAGAAAGTAATATTTCTTCTAAATATTAACAAGAAAAAAAAAAGTCTTACTACATTTTAAAACTAAGAGAAAACTACTAACTCAACCCTTAAGCTTGTCGAAAAGAATGATAGTGG